ATCAAACAGTAAGGAAGTTGGAAACGGCACTGGGATTGTTTATAGGAGCAGTGAAATCTGCTGCCAGTAAACGTTCTGCCGATGGCCTGACAACTGTGCCCTGGATTCAGACAGGAAATGGAACTGTGCCCATCACACAGCAGCTCCTAGCACACAAAGGTGTTAGAAGTAATACTCCCAGGAGCTTGAAGAAGTTAGCTCCTCTCACCAATGCAAAAATAAATTATTCTGTTTTAATCAAAGTCCAAAATATGTGTAAACACTGGCATTAGCTAAATAAAACGCAGTCAAAGTTTAAATCAATTGTGGCACTGATAATACAAACCGATCTGAATCAAATCAAACCATCTACCAAACAAAACATCTGCAACTCGCTTGTCTTCTAATGAGGTTTACCTCTCTGGAAAATCAAGTTTATCTGAATGAAGTTTTTTTTTTCCTCTCTAGAACTGCATGCGACCACATATATGCAGAATATTCCTTGCACATACAAATATGATGACTTCATTCGGACAGCTTTAAAGGCGATTTTCTCAATATTTTGATTTTTTGCACCCTCAGATTCCAGATTTTCAATCTGTATAGTTGTATCTCGGCCAAATATTGTCATATCCTAACAAACCATACATCAATGGAAAGCTTATTTATTCATCTTTCAGATGATATATGAATCTCAATTTCGAAAAATGGACCCTTATGGCTGGTTTTGTGGTCCATGGTCACAAATCATGATTCACGACTTCAGGTGCCGTTTTACTGAGAGATGATGTTTTGAGAGAGAGTTTGATATAATTCTGTATTTTTTTTTTTGAAAATCATTTGTTGAAATATCCAAAATAAATAATATTAGATAATATTAGCACATAAAAAGGCAATGAGAGTGAAACTTGGCCAACATAAATGTCCTTCAAACTAGGACATCAAACTACATTTATTTTTCCATCTGGTTTTATTTAATGTGACCTTTCTCCCTCACCTTTCCGTTTCTGCAGGAAGTCAATGGTTCTCTGCAGGATGGTGGATTTGTCCATCTTGCGAGGGTGACCTTGACCCTGCAGCATCGTACACAGCTCTTTAATGAGAACATTGAACTGGTCTCTTCTCTTCTTCTCTGATTTATTACGGGACGCCCTGCAGGGAAAGTGAGAGAGAGAGACAGACAAAAAGCATGCGTTGAAAATAAATGTACATATGCTGACTACACACAAACATATCAAATGGATTAAAATGCTTTGAAAGTACAAGAAGGCATCTTCGAAAAGAAAACGTCTGAATGGGATGATGGTGTTTGTGTATGATTTCTAATGAGAATCCCAGATAACTAATGCAATACAAACACATGTCTACTACACTCTTATATGCTACAACAATTTTACAAATTTCATTTCAATTACAGCTGAGGATAGGCTTCCAGCTAATGGTTTATATAAAGTCTCCAAATGAAAGATTACTATATGGTGTAAACGCTCTCTTATTTCAGACATTCCTGACACTTGCAAACACCTGTGCTGGTAACAGTCCTTCTGTGGTGCACAACGTCATGCAAACTGACAAAAACGAGTAAAATATATTTCAAAATCCTTTCAACCCTTTCAATTATCTCCAGTTTTCATTACTCTCCTTTCTCTCTCAGCCCTAGACACTTTTTCTCAAGGAAAATCTGTTGTGTTGAGTGAAAGTGTGAAGAGCTTTTAGAGGTGTGATTTCTTCATTTTCACCTCTGGACACAATTAAAGTTCAAAGGTTTACAGTCTAATGTGGGATTTTATTATTCAGCACTGCACAATAATGTGTACTACGACTATGAAGAGCTAAACAAACAGACCTTTTTGCTCTGTCTTTCTCATCTTCATCCATTAAATCATCCACACAGCTGCCTGTGCTGAGAGGAAATCACAGGAAAATGGTTTCTATTTAAAATTTATTTTTGGAACTCTGAAAATCGTACAAAATATATATAACATGGAAAATTAATTCTAAATGTGCAGAAAGCACATGCTAGTGTAGACTCACTCCCATTCCCTCCGGGTGGACGGACAAAGGCCTCCAAACTCCGAAAGGTTGTCCATGCTCACTCCTTCTCCCATTCAGGCCGTCTGGAAATGCTAGCGCGTCCCATTCGTGTCTTCTACACTCGAAACACCCACAGAAATTCTACTGGACACCACACGCTAACCACCTAATGCTAGTGGTTAGCCACTACTCACAAATCTTTGATGGCAAGCCACCGGTGTTGATTGGCAGCCAATAGATGCTGCAGTAATGTTCTTACAGCTAGCCAGTCCTTAAAAGGTCAATAACTAGTTTACCATCAAGATATTGTGTATCTTGACTCTTGTCTTCCAGATGAAAATTGCTAATGTACACTTGCAAAACGGTTTTCTCTCTCCATGAAGTTAATGATGGAAACAGAAGAACCTGTGGAAGAAAACAAAAAGCGTGTTTTAGTTGCCAGGTATTATGCTGTATTTATGATTGCTTTAGTCCATGACTAATTTATTCTGTAACTGAAAGTGTCTGACAATGCTAAGTAGTATTGGGCTGGTCATGTGATCTCAACTCAGAAAAGCTTTTTATAGACTAGAGGCTCCTGTAAGAAGGCCTATACATAATTTTAAATATATTTTTCTTTTTCCTTTCTCTTTTTTTAAAATTTTTTTTAGTTCACATGGATTTTTGCTGACAAATAAAACAGGAGTCCTGGTTGCACGTTACATGGATAAAGAATACATATAGTTCATTTACATATACTATTGACACTGAAACAATACAAAACTGGTTGAAAAAGTTTAATGCATCTTTAATGCCTGGCACAAATCACAAAGTTGTATTGAATAATAAACAATATTAAAAGTATCATACAAGCAGAACATTTGTTCATTGCCTTTTTGTGAAACGGCAAACTGTTTTGTACACAATCAACAAAAAGTTTCAAATGAGTGATTTTTAAAAACTTAAACTGTATTTACAAGCCTGGAAAAATGGAAAAAGACCACCGACATTAATTAAATATTCTCTCTCTTTCTCTCTCTCCCTCTCGGTCAAATGAATAAAACATGGGCACTTCTCCAGACACATTACACTTCACCAAAGCCAGCAGAGATACCACATGCTGTGTGCTTCGTGATCAAAAATCAGCCAAAAATCACAGTATACAGTTGAAAGTCCCATCCAGACTTTTGCTTTAAACATGTTATTCCCTGACAGCTAAAATATTTCCTTTAAAATGTCAAACTATTCAGTGACATTATTATATTAAAGCAAAATATTACTATGAAATGTGATCTTACTTGAGACACAGTGAATACATTTATTTTTTTCAACTGTTACACTGACTGTAACTCTGTCTTGTATTAAATTTAATATTATGATGTAATCTTTAGGTTTATTAGTGGTATAAACCATATGTTTCTTAAACCAGGTACATCTGTATTAAAAAAGTAAAAGGTTACCATCTCCCCCGATCCTTTACTTTCACAGTGAAAACGTGTAGAATCATCATGCTATATGGAATGTGTTTGATAAAAATCCTTTTTTTTTTACCCAACTTAACAAACACAGTCACAGGAATCTGTTGATGCGCCACAGAACCTGTTCATCATCTAGAGCTACACGCTCATTCAATAACTGCCTGCAATTGTTTCTCACGCCAACCTTTACAATGATGAAGATTCTGGGTGAATCAGAGCTGTTTTAGTTTAATTATATACAAATCAGCTGTCGATCTCCACCTTAGTCCAGTCAATAATCCTTCTGCTTTGGACTACGGCGTAAACGGTTCAAACTGAGGTGCTGCTTACTCACTTTAACAATTTTTGCATTAAACGTTTAATGCAATATCCGATGACAAAGAAATGAAAATGCACAAAACGTATTGTGTCGACACCTATGCTTAACCGTTAATGCAACACTGGCACAACCCTCAGGAAATGCTGCTTCGGCAAGGAGTGCCATGACCTAGAAACATCTTTTACGCCAGATTCTTTTCATAATCCAACACAACAGACAAGAATAAAGAGGAAAAAGTGGGATAGAGAGAGATGAGTAGTTAAAGAGTGTATGAGAGAGTGAAAGGAGAGTGTGGAAATTGCATGTGCACACAAATAATCAATGGGACAAACCATTTCAAACTGCACCACAAAAAAAAATCATTTTCTCAATTAGTAGTTTTGTCATGCTTTGGGTTGGGGGTACGTTACCCCACATAGGACAAGCAGTTTGGAGAATGGATAGATGGAGTATTTTTGTCTCGTTTTCCTGTAAAAATATCTAAACATGTTCAAAACAACATATGTTATTGTAGTTTCAAAAATATATCTGGAATTAAATTGTTTTTTCTTTCCCTGTTGAGATGAAAAACTATTTGTCAATGAGTCAAGAAAAATAAATTAATTCAAGAGTGTCTTATTTTAAAATGCAATTTTGCTTCTCAAATCTTGTTTTAATTAAGATATTTAGATATTTTAACTGGAAAGCCAGACAAGAGATGAGAAAATAAAAACAAAACAAACCAACAAAATAAAATAATGAACCCTGACACAGAATTTCATCAGTCATTAGGAGGATTTCAACATGAGCTTTTAAGTTAGTTATATGAATTTTTGTCTTGTTAGGAGGTTCTCTGCAATTAAAAGGCCTATCTTAGCAAGCTCGGTGTATTTTTGGCTTCTTGTTTGGCCATTTGCCAGTAATGTAAGTCAATTTGGTTAGCAGCACCGCCTACACCAAGAATATAAATGAAAAAATATAAGCTTTCTGCTTAAACGGCAGATGAATTTACAAAACTATGTTTTCAAAATCAAATAGTCAGTGGGATGCCTGAATAACTAGTTGACTAAATTAGCACTGGAGGAAGCTGGTTTAAGGCCACTTGACCCTGATCGGAGGCTTTCTTTCAGAGGCAGAGGATCTGAAAATAAAAAATATAATTTTTTATTGAAAACACAACTAGGAAATAAACATCAGTGGTTCATTTTAAAAAGGTTTTTTAATAAATACTAAATTATTTAATAAATAAATATGACTAGGAAACATTTATTGTACTCTGTCACTGTGCTTAAACTATCAGCACATATACACGCATCAACTGTGGTTTATGAAACAATTCCAGAAATCTGGCAGTTTTTACTTATCAGCTGAGAAGAGGTATGTGTTTGTGAGATAATGACTGACCTATATTCTCTCTCTCTCAAACACACACACACACACCTTTTTTAAAACACGTTTTGCTCTGCATAACATCACACTGACAGATCTGTGAAATCAGCTATGCAAGGTAATACAATTGTCTTTTATTTCAGGACCAAATGAAAAAACTAATATTTATTATCCTTAGAAATGATAGGTTGTGATGGAAAGTTTCTAAACCAAAAACTGGGCTGGCAATTCTAATGTTACTAAGAGAAATGTGTTTGCTATATATCAGCATCAATTTACACAAATGTGAGTGCGTGAAATGTACTTAAAAACTATTTCAATACCATCAGGCTGCTTCAGAGCACAACGAGAGAGAGAGAGAGAGAGAGAGAGAGAGAGAGAGAGATTCATTATGATTTTTTACCATACATGATATGGTTAAGAATAGTTTCAGCAAAACGGTGGTGATGACCAGACAAGCACAAATGAGAAGCAGTAAGATTGAGTCCAGCTGGATAGAATTAGAATACAGACCTCCCCAAACTTTATAAATAAAGCACATACTGTATACACACATATCCACCCACATTTACGCATACACATACGCTTGTATACAGATCATGCACGCACACACTGTGTTCTGTCTAATCCACAGTAATTGTGTCTGACAAATAGTTCAAGCCTTTGAACTACAGTTTCGTATTTAATTCACATTTAAAATGAAAATGAAAAAGATGATGAAAGAGAAGGGACACAAAGAGCGAGACGCAGCAAACTCTCAGCTAATGATTAATACAGCAGACTTTCTGCTAATAATAAACAGCAAATTCTCTGTCTATTGTATGATGAGCACATAGGATTCATTCTTGTGTTCAAGTCTAGAGCAGCTGGATAGAGCACAACAGAAAAGAACAGAATTCAAAAGTTTCGAGCTACATTTCGTAAAATTTAACTGCTTGAAAATGCAATGGTTATGGGGCAAGAAACAGGTCGAGTTGTGAAGCAATGGCCAAGGATGTCTATTAGGCTTGCCGCGATAGACGGTGCTGACGATGATACCGTTGTTAAGCCGCAACACCGGTTACGTCACTTGCCCACCACGGCACCGACCCCCACCGTCGTTTAGATTTTTTTATAGTAATAAAAATCATTTAGTTCAGTAAAAGAACAGACACTACAATTAAAAACTGAACGCGGCTACTCAATGCAGCGTGCCGGACAGTCTCATCACAGATCAGATTTCATTTATCCAGTGAGGAGAGTGAGTCGAGCTGACTGACAAGAAGAGTGAGTTGAGACAGACAAGTTTCGAAACGAAATGCAAAAGCACCTGTTTGGCAATATTTGAGATTTTGAAAAGCCTGTTGACTTTTGCCGTTTATCTAACGTGCCTCCAAGCTTTCTTAGTCGTTTTGCTAATAAACTTTCTACGTTTCTTATTTATTTGGTTAGCCTATATATTATACATGTTTACTTATTTCCAGTTTTGTATAGGCTACCTATTTAAACTTTATGCAAGTTATTTCTTATTTGATATTAGGCATAGCCTGCCCTATAGCATGGTGTATTTTATTTGTTTTGTTAATAAAAGTTCTATGTTTTATATATAAAGCTAAAGTGAGTTTGACGTTGTATTTTGTTGTTGCATTCAAGCAATTGACGCCGAATTGCCGCTAATTAAAAGTGAAAGTAAAATGCGCACAGTGCTTTTAAGTTATTTAAAAGTGAAGGAAAGAGAGGAAAAGAGGGAAAATTCAAATGTACAATTGCTTTACGCCGAATTGCCGCTATTTGAAAGTGAAAGTAAAATGCGCACACCGCTTTTGCAAGCTATTTAAAAGCGAAGGAAAGCGAGGAAAATAGGAAACACCCTGCCCCCATGGTGATTCCGGTATTATCAAAAAAAAAAAAAGATAAATATAGATAAAGTAGAATTAAAATAAAATAGAAATTGTTAGAGTTAGAGGGTCAAATAAAGGTGGAACTGATGTGTTTTTAGTCATATATATATATTATATATACAATATACATATATTTCGTTTATATATAAATATAAATTGCATATATTTTTTTAATATATACACATGTATGTGTGTGCATTTGTATATACACACATACATACACAAACTTTTATTTTGGATGCGATTAATCGCCATAAATCAATTTGACAGCACTAATTCAAAGATCTGACAACCGCACACTGCAATTGACCAATCAGAATCAAGTCTTGCAAACAGCAGTGTAAAACTTTGCTAATAAAAAACACAGCAAATGGAATTTAC